AACTAAAAACCTAAATTATAAATGCGCAGTTTCTCCCACAGCGCTATACTAGAGAATGAATGTCCGCCAGACTGAAGCAGAAACCTTGAGGAAATGAAATGTTTCGGACCAATTCTTTGCCTCTTTCTCAAGTGTGTGTGTCATTACAAGTGACCCGAGTGACACACAAAAACAGGTTGAGCTACTTAAGTCTCAAGCAAAACAGTCCAGAGTCAGTTTAGTGATTGGCTGAATGCACCTGAGAGGGTCACATTACTCTAGTCACATTAGTGATACAGAAGGAGGCATAAGCTTAAAAGGGAAGAGGTCATTATGTGTTATATTGCAACGAGAAGCTTTTTCACCTTGATGTGACCAAAAGCATTAAAAACAGCATCACTCATCCATTATTCAATATTGAAGTTAGCCTTGGAGATAACGCCACAGGCTTCAGTGTGTCACTTTAAATGGAGGCTGCAGTAGTGAGCGATTTTGTGAATGGGAGTCATTTTCCTCTGAGAGGCCTCTGATAATGACTTTGAGTATGGTGACAGGGGTTAAGTATTTGAATTTGTCAATCGCTAAATGACAGATATGTAAAGGCTTACACAGCCAAAGGAGGCTGCAGTGTTTTGGTGTTAAATGGCCCACTGTGGAGGATATGGATTAGTCAATACACGCTGCCAGTTAGACTTTAGTGGAGTATTTACTCACTGCAGAGGCCCCGTCGTGTTCACACATTTGGACTTTGACATGATCTCGTCTGTTATCAATGTTTTAGTTTGGGTTGACCTATATTTTTTCGCTGCAGCTGTTGTTTCGTCAGAGTGGGTCAGAGGAGACAGCAGTGAATGTTTATCTGGGTTAGGCTTTGATACAAATGGATGATTAAGTTATTCACTATGACTATAACGTGTTGTGTCTGCAGGTATTTGGTGTTCTCATTGCTGTGCTCTGACTCTAGCAGGAACAGAAAACAAAGATGTTATCAGATTAAACATCCAGTAGACATTTTTAGCAGGATTACAATTATACCATTTAAAAAATATATACAATAGACTAATAGACACATGTATATGCGCCGCACATGTTACAGCACTTTATAACTCACACAATAGACTCTAAGATAATAAAATACTTTTACTGGGAGCAAATGTTGCCATCATTTGGGTGTTTAAGAAGGGAAAGGAGATCAAGCCCATAGTAGACTGCAGGTCATGCCTTCCAGAAAATACTGTCATCATCCAAGGACTCGACATCTTATTTGAGAACATTAGCTTCAAGAAATACACTGAGCAGTAGACACATTTGTGAGGCTACAAAATGTAGTTTCCCCATTTTAATTTCTGAACATTATTCAGTTGTGTTTTAAGTTTAAATAAAAGTAAATGTATAGGTATTTATTTTCTCTGGACGCTTGAAAATTGGGGTAATCCAAACGAAAAGTAATCATATGTTACTTTGATATTTGACACTTGAATAAGGCTACTGTGTACATGTTTGAAAAGGTAAAAAAGAAAGAAAACATGTATTAAAGACCCACAACAAGATACGATGATAATTGCATGCATTAATCACAGTGATAAACACAAGTGACTTTCTGTCAGTGAAGTCACCTTGTCCTTGCTTCAAAATTAAAACATTCACTCCAGCTCAAAGGAGCTGTCATGCTGATTCTCTTTGCCTCCCCGCTTCCTATTCAACCTAGAAACTGTGCCGACAGAGAAACAAGACAAGGTTCAGTGTAGCTGTGTGACTGAGACAATGACACTAATGCTGCCAATGTTTGATTCCCACTGAGGCCAGCGCGGAAATGTTTGCTGCCATGGTGCTGAAAGGTGCTCTGGATAAAACGTCTCCAACAAATGATATTATGTTCTACACAGCAGTCTGCAGAAAGAGGTTAAATGTCTTCCTTTGGGGTAAAAAACAGAAACACTCACTTGAAAGTGAGGAACTTCTATATCGGACAAAGTCCAGTCATGAAACTTTTAGCACGTCTTCCCAGGAAACTAAATATTAATTCAGTCTAAACAGAGAACTCATGTAGCAGGGTGAGTGATCTCAAACCATGCTGTCATTTTGAATAACCAGTATCAAACTTGTTTTTGGTGATCAGGGTTCTGCTACGTAAAAAGCAATGTAAATAAAACCAGTCACCACATTTAAATTGTTCTAAATATATCCCATAACCTCTCCTATTCACCAGAACTTTCCCCTCAGACTTTTTATACTCCGTCCGGATGTGACGCACATTGTGACCCATATGCTCTGAAACTAAGTAAAAAGGGTTTTAAATGATTCATAACATGTCAAACTCCTTCAGCTCAGCAAACATGCATTTTCGCTTGTGAGTTTCTGCTTTATTTCAAATCTTTCCAAGAATTTTGCATATTGCTGGAAATGTAAAAACGGAAATATCAAATGCATTTTGCACCCGGGAACATATGTGCATAAACACTGCGTTCCCTTGACAACCTTAGCTGAACCCGTTGAATAATGCAGATGAAACATAACTTATGTAAGACCTCGGGGGGGACGAGGACAGTCTGGACACTTTTCAGTTGACACCCTCAATCTTTGGATTCTAGGATGCAGCAGTGTTTAATTTAATGTAGATGTTACCATGAAACAAAGATGCCAGGATATTGTTTCCAATACTTGTTGCATATTTATGTTTACACAAATATTCAAAATGTGTTTGAGTAGTTATTTTTCCTTCATTCAAACAATGGGAGCCATTATTAAATAACTAAAGGATCTGTGATTTACTTAATTCACGCACAATTTGAGTAAGATTATTTCTTAGCTTCTCGTTGAACACAAAATAACTATTTATAATAACAAATTCAGTTTTTTAAAATTTGACAGACGGTTAATGTATCCTAAAAAAAATTCATACAAGTAGATAAATGAATGCTGATAAACAGAATTCAGCCTAAAAATAGGACTTTAAGGACACAGTTTAATCCTGTTGACCTCGAATGCACCAACAGATGAGCTCAGCCAATGAGAGACCTGCTCTACATTTGAGCCTTTTGCCCCAACTAAAACAGAGCACTGCAGAAAGACATACAACGCGGATAATGAGTTTTAAAGCCTCAATATTTAAAAAAAAAAATTATTGCATGGACAAATATAAAAAGTATTGATTAGTTCTATCCTTAAACTGATTTTATTTTTAAAACTGAAGTTACAACTAGTTTTTCTAAACGTATTTAAAGTCACTGAAATAGTGTATGGGTGAATACTTATTTGGGTGCATCAAAGCATTGTAATGTTATCTCATCTGAACAGAATGCTTTTCCCTTTCATGCGTCTCTTAAGGCAAATAAGATATCTTAAATCTCATGAGCAACATGCAGTTTTTTAAGGCTGAAAGCTCAGCATTGTTAAAAATGAAAGATGCGTGAAAAATAACTTTTCATATATGCAATTGATTGTGTATCTATTTATTTCCAAGATACGAAATAGGCGAGTTGATTTGCAAAAATAAAAACACCGATAGATTACGCCTGTTTAAACTTTAGAATGTATCTTTGTATTTCGGGTCTCAATGACACACTGAATGAGACGTTTTCTGCAGCGAGGCACGCGATATATATACGGGTTCATTCAGAAGAAAGAAGCACGACCGTCAGTGTGGCTTGGGGGTATTTTACAGGAGATAAGACTGGTTGTAGTGCACACACACACACACACACAGCCTGAGATGCGTAGCAGAGAGCGGGAACCCTTGAGGGATCATCTCATCTCAGGCTGTAAGGAACACAGGCAGAGAACAAAGAGCGGCAGGGCGAGTGTGAGACACTATCTGTCCTTCATCAATCCCCTGCCGAAGTGTCCTTGAGCAAGATTGCTCACCGAGATGCTGCTGCTGACCTTATACTGTCCTCTTAGAGGGGAAATTAACGGGGTGCTGTGTGATATCTTCATTAAAGAGTGGGTAAATTACACTTTTTTTGCACATACAAAATGGTTAAAGCATTATTGCCCTTTAACACCTGTGTTAGAGTGGCGGTTTGTAAGCTGCTGTTGGCTATTTTCATTGATTTCGCGAATTTTTTTTAAATGTAATATTTCTACCAAAATGTTTCTACTTAATGATGTCTAGAGTTAAGTGTTTTAAGGTGAATTATAAACCCAAAAATAGAACCCATCAGTAAAGCTGCAAACAGATGTTTAGAGAAATACACGTGGTTCCATTTGTTGAAAACATTTTTTAAATATGCACCATCCCATCTCCCATGAATGGGACGGCGCTGCTGAAGGATAATTAATAAGGGAAGCGCTGTCCTCCACCAACACGTCTCCACTGCTCCCTTTTGGCACTAACTGACCCGTTGTTAATCCAACACAATACAACAAATGTAGCGGCATCCTCTTGCGGCTCTGGGTGTCGGTGAACAAACAGCATAATTAAAACAGGGGGACAAAAGAGGGATTTCACACAGAACACAGCGCACCACGGTGAATGGTTTAGATTTGGTAAATGAATGTGAAATAAGCATTGTGTATGCCGCAGGTGGTGAGTGATTATTCACTCCGAATAACAACAGTGGATATAAACTGTGTAGCACATTGGAACAACAGGCTTCCCAGAGCGTATTTTACGCACATATCCCAATGCCACTTTTTCAGTTTGAAAAGTGAGAGGGCAAATTAAGTGTCAGGTTTGATCTCAAATGTGAAATGAAAAAAATCTGTCAATGTGGTAAAACAAGGGCTTCCAAACAGTTTGTGTTAGTTTTAACATTTTCTAAAATGCTATACATGAGATGATCTAAAGTTTTAGACTTTGTGGCAAATATGTTGTTTTTAAACCAAATCAATAGATGTGAAACAGCACTCAGAGCTACGCCTGTTTAAATAATTAACTTGTTTTTAAAACAGTAACATATTTTATGGCTGACTTGCAAACTTAATGTCCTGTTAAGATTTATATTTTACAGTGATCAACATTACGCACAACTTCAAACACAGAAATATAATAAGTAAATGCATGCCTCACTTGACCACCTTCACACACCTATAGTCTTACCCTCTCTTCTCATGCCGACCTTCAGGCACTTCTTCAGGCGGCAGTACTGGCACTGGTTCCGGTGGTGCTGGTCGATGGGACAGTCTCGGTTCCCCCGGCAGGTGTACGAGAGGTTCCGCCTCACCGAGCGCTTAAAGAAGCTTTTGCATCCCTCGCAGGTGAACTGACCGTAATGCTTCCCACTGGACTTGTCTCCGCACACCATGCAGTCCACGTTGGGGATTTTGTCCCCGGAAAGTGTGTCAGTCCCCGGGGTGGAACCGTTGGGGGTCCCCGGTGCACCGCCGGGCTCCTGGCTGCATATCTGGAGCTGAGACCCCGGATCTGCAGAAATGTTCTCTGGCCACTGGTTTACTACCATTGCCATGCTATCCCCAAACACTTTGCTCTTTGTTTAAATCACAGAAGGAGAGACTGAGATCCTGCTGACGTCTTGGGAGAGAAAAAAACGAGGAAGGGCGAACAGGCGCTTCCCACTTCCTCCAGAGGTCAATCTGAGCTTATTGAGCGTATTTATTTAAATGGTTTATCGGAATTACTGAGTTCTTCCCGTAAACATCTAATCAAAGTTCACAGCAACAGCGAGGTATCAACATGATCGATGCATAAGAGCGTAGCCTACAACTCCCGGGGCTCCTCGCTGCGCAGCAATCCATAAACACGTTGTTGGTTCTTCAGAGTGCAACCTCTCGGAAAACCCAGTCCATACAATCAGCGTGTCGGCTGTAAAAACAAAATCTTATCTTACTTCTTCTCCGCTTATATAACTTGAAACACCGGGGAATGTTAACAGACAGCAATGTTTCCCCTCCAGTCGCCCGAGTCTGTCCTCCGATCAATAGCGTTCTGCGTTTGGATTCACGCAACTGAAGATCTTACACCAAGACTAACCGCGTTTCATGGTGTTTAGAGATTTATTTAGTCCCAGCAAGCTCTTGGAGACAATATGACTCGCAGAAGGCAATCCCTGCTCCTCTTGTTCTTTCGCGCCGCAGTGGGGTTTTTGAAGAGCGATGTCTGATCTTTATTTACCCAACAGACAGCCCAGATATCCTCGGTGATCGTCCGTGTGGTAGAACAGCTTTAACAGGCAGACACTTTACGCGCACACCAGTGTTTGCCGCTCGAGTGTATCCCATCAGCTTTCGACTGTCCGTCCAATCTCAGAGAGGCAAAGCTACAATTTGGGGGAAAGTGTCACTAGCAGGCTGCCTCGTACGGCTGCCCCCCTGGCGGCGCTCCATATTAGGTCATACGTACCATATAAGGAAGTGTCCCCTCCCCTCAGCGGGAGAGGTGAGACATAAAAAGGTCTGCAGTGATTGGCCACAAAAGTCTGTTAAAAAAGTAAGGAGCGTCTCTGATTGGACGGCAGTCGATTAGGATGGGTTTGACTGACAGGCGCGGTTGTTGTGATACAAGTACTTTAAAGTGTCCCATTGAAAATACTATGTACTGCATCTTGTTTGTTTAGAGGTGCAATAAACATGTTGTTAGTTTGTAATTTAAATACGTTTGTAAAGTTAAATAAGCTATGGGAACTATTCGTGCTGCGTATGTGTTCTACTTTACTTGTTTTAATCGTTATATTTTTTTCAAAGGATAATAATGTATACTTATAATAAAGGGAGAAGGGATTCAAAGTTCCTCTCCACTCATGTGTTTTGCTATTTAATTACATATTTTACCTTCACTTTGCAGGGGGGCAAAGACTGGAAAGTGTCTCTGTCCTTACTTTAAATAGCTTTGTGATCATGATTTTGTGACTAATTTGGCTGATAATCCTGGTCTAAAAGGGACATGGAAAACAGAATATTTTATTTTCAGTGAAGTAGTAGTAGAAATGAACAATAATTGCATTTTTACAGCTTCTGTTTTTCAATGACCAATAAGAAATAGGTATATAATAAGAGTTTGAACAAAGCAATTTCACTTTTTGTGTAGAGAAAACGTTACATTATTATTGTTTTAAGCCTTTGCACACGACTAAAACATGTCCTTTACGATTTACGAAATGCTATGGAGGCACTTGCTGTCTGGTTCCCATATTTTAAGGTCATTTCCTGACATGAAATAAAAATTAATGTTTTCTCTGAAAATATAATGTCATGTTGTTTATTGTTTTGCCCTCTGATCAGCGACTGAAGGTCACGGTTTACCAACCGTTTTATCTACCATGCAGCATTGCCTTGCCATTAATCTTAGGCAGCTGTCTTGTGCATGTAATCCCACAGATGTTTTCTAACAGACTGGTGTCAACATATTTTAACCCCACCCATAACTTTAAATATTCTATCTTAAAAGTACTAAAAAGTTAACTAACAACCAATCTTGCAGAATAATACATTATTATTTAGCTTTACAGAAATGCTCCTCTCAGCTCTGCAACAGAAACAAAAGGTGCCAAACTTCTCACCAAGCCATAAAACTCCCTAAATCGTTTACCAGTCGAGAAAGTGTTGATTTTGTCGTTTTGTTGTGTTATACAGTCTCTGGCAGCGCACAAAAGGCTGTTGCGGTAATTAACAGTGACAGTGTTGTTCCCTAATGGGTTTCTTTCCACACCGAGAGCAGCGGGGACCTGATTATTTTCCCAGATCGGGTCTTGATTTGTCATGTGAAGGTAATTCCAACAACACCGCTGCCAGGGGGCGAGTGTCCCATCAGCCTGTGTTGCATGGGACCGGGGTTTGAGAAGCGATAATGTGTTTAGACACGCTCTCACACTTCCCCTCTGAAGCACATGCATACATCATCTATCGATATATCTATATCCATCTACGATTGTCTTGAAACAATTCGGACTTTTGCGCACCTATTCCCAAGAACTCCGTAATAAATAACAAATATATTTTCAAATTAATAGCCTACGTTACGTGTCGATGCCAAAACAAACTTCATGATACTTACGCAGCACATTACCCATACTTACCATTACTCCTACTGAAATGATGATAATAATAATAATAATAATAATAATGATAATAAACTGGATACAAATAAACTAAAAAAACAAGAGAAACAGCTGTTAAAATAACGTATTATTTTGGGCTATAGGCCTATATATATATATGCCCAGAGCAATAGCAGCTGAATTACGAATTACGAAAACAGCCACTACATCCTGTTAACAGAATCTTATCTATCTAAAGATAAAAAAAAGAGGAACTTTAATTCCCAACTTTGCTTCTCCCAAAAGGAAAGAAAGCCTAAAAGACAAAACCCCACTTAGGGGTCCTGAACGCGGTTCTCGCCCGAGGCCATGAGGTTGGCCCTGCGCGCGGCTTAATTGCTGTCACATGTAACCTTACCTGTCTCCCAATTAGCCCCGTGACTCGCTATTAGCAGATTCCACGCGCTGTAGGCCAGTGGCCAAGGGCACCTCAGGGTTTGGGGTCCAATAATTAGAGTGTAATTCTATACAGCTGAGGCTTATGATGAATTTGACCAGAAAAGGGGTTAATTAAATGAGGATCAACTTCAGGTTTACTATTGTATGTGATCTCCACACATTAATCCCTCAATAAAGACAACATCTCCCTCAGTTTCTTTAGAAAGTAAAGTTCTTGCTCTTTTTAAAACTCGTAAACAGTTCAAATTAAGTGACATTTGTGAAATCTCCCTGGGGCTGCATTTAGACGGTTCACACAATAACGATAAAGTGTATTTTTAGTTATTTTTAGTGATGAGAGAACTTTTCAGACCCTTTACAACTGGATAAGGTCTGAAAGAGTCAGCTTCAATAATACAGGTTTTTACTAGAATTACACTATGTATGCTAGATAGTTTAATCCAGGGGTCGGCAACCTTTTTGATATGAAGTGCCATTTAAAAAAATAATTGTTATCAGCGTGCCAACGATCGAGAATTATCAACGGGGGGGGGGTTGAGGAGCTTGACGCTCGTCAACTATCAGCAGGAGGGCGGGGGAGCCTCGCTGCGGGGAAGCAGTGTGTGGAGCTGTCAGCGCAACTTACATGATGCCGA